GAGAGCAGGCTCGGAGACTGAGCCTCACCACTAATAATAGTTATTTATGCACCAAAGGAATTACAAGGGTTCTAATGATCGAGCGACGACAAAATACTGAGGTCTTTTTGTGGTCCCAGATCTTTAGAAACAGTTAACGCCGGTGGCAAATACATAATTTTATTTTTTACCTAATTTCATTCATTCAGATTTACTTATTTACTAATTAGCTATGTGTTAACTTGACTTGGTTTTCTGTAATATTTCTCCCCATACTTCCCTTCCGTAGTTCTCGCTTATCAGTCCCTCCAGAAGAGAACATTTAGCATCATTCAACTGTTTTTATATTTCCCTCGCAACCGCGATCATTTCGATCCTGGTATGCAGTGTTTATCGAGATCCGTATCACAGGCAATAACAAGCTATAACGTATTAGTAAAAAATAAATAGATTACTATAATTATTATTATTATTATTATTATTATTATTATTATTATTATTATGACAATCCACTTACCCAATCTGCACTTCATTCCATCCTGTTATCCTCAATACATCGCCTCAATACTCCACTCCTCAACATCTTCAATACATCGAATGACAATGGTCATCGAAAGGTAAACATCATTGCGATTTTGTGTTCAGAAAAAAGGAGAGTCTAAGCCTCCTTTTTTATTAATACCTAATAATGAGTAAAACACTCATTATAAATCTGATGTGAACCTTCTAGCATATTTATGATTTAAGTACCTTTTTTGGTTTTTTAATCTGTTTAACCTAGAACGTCTAAATCTACAGCTCATTTCATTTGTTTCACACATTGGAAATATGTGCTTAAAATGTGTGTAATGATTGCTTATGCATGGGATCAAAATTAATCTATGCATGGTAGAAAACTGATGAATTTTCGTCGCCTTCTTCGTCCTCATTTGCTTTCTCTCTCGTTTTCTTCCCCTTTCTATTATGCGGCAACACGATAACACGAAACACCGAAACATAGGAAGCATATTTCTGAATAATGATTTCCTTTCCAAAAGATCAGTCCGTTGTGCCGGTATATTTATGAAGAGAGCTTCTTCCAAGAGATCCGCGTAGCAAAGTCTGGGGGAGGAGGGGGGCGAGTTTCACTGCCGTGTGCGACGCGTTGTAGCCTTGTTGCGACACTTCGTCGGCTCGTGTGTTCCACTGGAGGTGCGAACCCGGGCATCCCCCCCCCCCAACCCGGGGCGCTATCGGCCGCGTTCTGTATCCTGTGGTGCGGCCGCTTTCTCCCTTTTCCTCCCCATTCTCCGCGTGTGCTCTTATCCGTTGCACTGTCGCGCGCTCGCTGACGGTTCTCAGGTCGATTCTGTTTTCTGGAGTACAACCGGTCTCCCCGCGTAGGAAGTAGGAAGTAAGGTTGTGTTTCTTGCACACTTCTCACGCATTCTTCCCTGTTTCAAAGTGAAGCCTATTCAAATCGTGCGAAGCTGCCACTTCGTGCTTTTGACGCTTTTAAATTACGTTCCCCTCTTAATATCGTGTGTCAAGCAATCGTTAAGATATTGAGATATATTTGTGTAAGAAGGTTCTGGAACAAGATTGTTACTTGAAGATAATATTTTTTTCTTCTCGTTTATGTATTCTTTGTTCTTCAAAAATGTCGACATAAAAGTTGAAGTTATGAATACAATAAGTAAATATGACATATTTTTGTGACTTCTCACTGTTTTCAATTACCTACTCTCCTCTGATATTCTTTTGAACATCCACCATTTATACATACTCAAAAACGTGCATATCGTAGAAGGGATATGTTAATAAAAGCTCATCAAGTAAATTTAGCAAATCTAAGAAAATCTTATTAATTTACTCCAAAATATATCTAAAACAAGATATTGGGCGTCTTGCACGCTAATTTTGTTGGAAATCGCGTCTCATTCTCAAATTCCCTGACTGTTCCTTGTAGTGAATCGATTCTCGAAGTACTCTCTTTAATAATTAACAATATTGTAATATAATTACTTCAAACTAGTTTCCTGCAGAAGCAAAACTGCTGATGTAGTGAGCGAGGAAAATGGGGTCCTGGAACTGCAAATATTGGCTACTGTGAAACGACACACATGGATACTGAAGTTTCTTTCTTCCTCATCGCATGGCGTCAGCTGTCTCGTTAGCAGTGACGCTCTAAAGATGATAATTTAGTTGTAACAACAGGTATAGGAATTCAGCATTAATACTCTGAAAGTAAAATAACATCGTATTTTCATTTTTTAGTCAAATTCAAAAGGTTTTTTTTGTTTGTTTAATTTCCTTGTCTCTAAGTATCTACACAGTGATCTGGGTATGCCTGCAACGTTATCTGTAAATAAACAGACGGTAGTCATGCATATGAATTAAGTTCCATTACCAGAGTTCGCAACTGTCGCTAATACGTCACCGATTCTCATTCATCCTTGACCTGCAACACATAGTACGAATTCCTCCGCCTCCGAGTACCTTCAAACCACCCCAAGAGCCCACCCGTCCCCCGCGCGGAGGAACCCGGTCGCGTGACGGCCCCCCACGCAACCGCGTCTCGAAACCTCCGCGTCCTTCCCCGCGCGCGGAATCCGCCGCATGTCGCAGCCGCTTCGCGTATCCGCGCGCGATCGCTTCCGGCGTCGACGCGCCCGCCACCCACGCAGCCTGCGCGCCGGCGGGCGATAAGCCGGCGCGGCGGGCGCGAGCTTTGAGCGGGCGTGCGCGGCGTCCGCAATGAGGATACGCAGCCGCGCCGCACGCGTGCCCCGTTGGTTCGCCCGCTCGCTGCCTCGCGGGAGGCGCCGGCCGCCGCCGCCGCCGCCTGCGCCGTGGGAAGTCGCCGGCGCACGCGCACGCAACGTCGTTCAGGAGGCGGTGGAGGTGGAGGCGAAGGGGATTCAGGGGGCGTTGAGGAGGCACTGGTCGATCCAGGAGGGGGGGACCATACCCCCCCCCAAAGGCCTAGAGTTGTCGTGTACTTTGAATTGATTTAAATATTCATTTATGTTTGAATTACGCAATTATTTAAACAATAATGTTATATAGTATCAGCTACAGTACATAAATATTACACAATGAAATATCAAATATGTTAATTATTTAACAAAAAACTAGGATGGGCCCCTCCAAAACGATCGGCTGTATCCACCTCTAAGTGGAGGTGACGCGTGGTGTGATGGAAGAGGTTGTGTGGCAAAGGAGGAACGCATGCGACGTAATGCAGCAAACCGACGTAATATAGCTCAGGGTGTCAAGTTGTGTCAGAGCAGTTCCTCTGACTGGGAGATCCTAGGGTTCGTGTCGCTAGGTGGCAGGATTTTCCAACATAGCTACATAGCTAAGTCGCATTCAGCTACTCTCTGGAGGAGAACCCTACCGGCCGGCTGTTCTGATTGGTGGTTTTCTGTGGTTTATGCCGTCAGTTCCAGGCGAATGCTAGAGCAGTACCATATGAAGCGGGCAACGGACCGCGTGCGATCTTTCCTTCTCTTCCTTGTCCTAATGTCACCCTCAGATACTGTGACGTCATGGATACTCACAGCGACCACAGACACAGAGCTTTCAATAACAAATATATTATTTAACAAATAAAAAACAAAAAATATATACAGCTTAAATAATCGTACTTACATCCTAGCTCTGATAGACCCTACTATCCCCTGATCGCGGCGAAGCGGATCCAAACGCCAGATTGAAGCAGGTGGTTTTTTGAATTGTGGCATTCGCCACTCCTACTTTTGAAGCGCGCACAAAGCCTGCTTCCGTGACGGATGTCACGCTGGGACACAAAGTCCGTTCTGGCGCACCAAACGGCTGGTTTGCCTCGCATCGCCAGTGAGCGATCGTATCGATTGGAGAATCGGCGTGAATCGTGGGCACTCAACCCACTCTTCACCTCGGGAGCACGCACCACAGCACGCTCCCCCGTGACCGCAGTCACCCAAGGACGTAAATGTCCGCAGGCTTCGTCACACTAGTGACCGAGCCTCGCGAGCCTGGCTCGCATATGCACCGTCGTGGCGCCAAGTTTTGTGCACACGACGAGGTTCTCCCCCATGTCTCCCCCAGAACCCACCCACCTGGCTCGTACACTCTGTTATATAGCGAGGCCCCACGTGGACCTCCTACGTCACGCCACCCCCCGCTTGTTTATAAACAGTGAAAAGCTTCTATAAGCCGAAGACGCCAAAACCTGTGTGTCTCCCGTTCCGCGTTAATGCCTTTACGGAAAAAACCTTTTCTGTGGCGGGCTAACCTTCTGCCAAGCGTCCCCAAATAGATGCCACGAGGCACGCTGGCTAATACGTTACAATACTCAGACTCACATGTATTACACTGCAGGGGCAGATCGAGCCGCTCATTTGGGGGGGGGGGTCGTAGATTTTTGTTACTTTATTGTAGGTATGATACTATGCTGTAGTACTGTGTGTACTGTAGATATGGTACTATGCAATATTATAATTTAAATAATTAGTTAATTCGAACGTAGATAAATATTTAAATCAATTTCGCAAAATAAAGGAAGGGAAACAATAACTCTACGCCTTGGGGAGGGGAGGCATTGCCTCCATACCCCCTCTAGATCCGCCAATACTATACTGCCACACATGTCGGGGCACCAGTCGGAAGCGTAAAGCTTGCCCCGGCTGGCGTGGAGCCCCATTGGTGGGAAATGGGATCTAGTTGGGAAAACCCCGCGCACAGTAGGTCGGCGCCTATCTCGCCCTCCAGCGCAAAAAGGTCGCCGCCTCCTCCCGCAATAGAAGATGCAATACACTTACGGGACTAACGACTTTAGCAGTTGACGCGCCCGGAAACAATAAGCGATAAACCAGCAATGCAGCAGGCGGCGTACACAACGCTGACAAGAATAGATGGATGGACTCTGAGGACAGAAGCCCTGTTTTTGGGTGTTGGAGGCGACGGCAGCGAGGGTGATTGAGGAGGCACTGGTAGGTCGCTTGAGATGGTGCAACGGTCGAACATGAAGTGAGGGAGGAGTCGTTGGAAGCGGAGGTATGACAATTCAGCAGGATATAGCAATGAGGACTGATGGGACGATGGATGTAATGCCTGTGAGGGTGATAAAATACGAGGCACTGCGTGCGAAGGCCCAGCTGGCAGCTGTGGAAGTAACTAACACGGCGTGACGGAAGTGGCGTCCAGGAGGCGATGGAAGTCGATAGAAGGCTTTGAAGGAGCTTCTGGAATGTCCGGTGTAGTGTTGGAGGTTATGATTATCGACGAGATGCAGCAGGTGGAGGAAAAGGGAGTTGTTAGTATAGACTACTGTGCAAATGGAGGATACGATGGCAATGATAATGGTTAAGGAGGCGTTGTTGCAAAGGGTGACAGATTTGTGGAAACAGTGTTGATTCAGAAAGAAGTAGTACCCACGTCGACCATGGTGATGGCAGCAAGATGCAAAGATATGTGCGAAACACTGTAGTGATAGTTATGTGATGGGTTGGCGATCGAGGCTGGAGGTGGAGGAGAGACCAGTGGAAGTGATGCAAACTATTTGAGCTCGATGCTATTCCGGCGATGGAGGTGGCGATAGACGAAGTCACCCGGCTGGTGTAGGAGACACTTGCGTTGCACCTCAGGAGATGCTCGATGAAATGTAATGAAGCAAGAGAGGTGATGCCAGCAAAGACGCAAGCTTTATATTGCTGAGGCCTATGAGGATTCTAGAGATAGCAGCACACGTGCGGCAACGAATTTCAATATTCTGAAACCAGTGTCGAAAGGACGGTGGGAAAAATATAGTTGGAAAGGCCATTGGGCAGAGTTGTTGGCAGGCTGTGGCAAGGAAGTAAATGAGAAAACAGAGGAAGTCCAGTGAGTCGTTTCAGATCCCTTTTTACTCGTGGTGTCATCTATAATTATAGTTATCGATTGTACTAGTATTGGAATAAAATACTCTACCTATTCGTAAAAATGCCACAATGAGGTAGTTAAAGTCTCTATCACATAATAAAACTTTTAATTAGAGACATTTTATTTTGAAAAAAAAATATCGTACATAAAATGCACTTCAAACATGTTTGAAATTTCGTTTTCGTATTTCGCATCAGATTCCAGCTTACAGAAAACCATATTGAATGTAACTTCGACGAGGTCCTTCTTTCTCCTCAACCTCAGCGCACTTACATTTCCATTTGTAAATGTTTGATCACAGCATGCATACACTTCCCATTGTAAATGTTTGATTACAGCACATGTACATTTCCCTTTGTAAGTATGTAACTGAGAGTACTCATACGGTGCACGAACTCTCTTGAGTATTCGCCCAAGAGCGGGGAACGTTGGTGTAGGAAGCCATGGAGAGCAACTGGTTGCAAGCACGCCTCTAGGGCGTTGGCCAACTGCTCGATTGCAGCGACGCACTCCCACGCGACGCAACAATGCCTTTGCACGCGCCGCGCCGCGCCGCGCCTCCTGCGCAAGCGCGCACCAGCCGTGCGACACACGGCTTGGAAACTGCCTTTCTCCGGAGTTCTGGAAGTTCGTGGAAGACGCGCTGCCCGGGAGGACTTTGAGTTCAGCGGAGAGGAAAATGGAGTATGCACCGAGCGAAACGCCACTCGACGCTGGGAACGCCACTCGCCGCTGAGTCCGCACATGCTCCCTGCATCGCATCACGCAGTAGCAGTGGCGATGTCACATTGGCAATACCTTCCCTCTGCAGCATCGTTGAACGGGTGGTTCTAGGGTAGAAGTGTCGGTGACGGAATTTCGACTCTACGAACTCAACCGAGTCGAAATGAGTCAGTGGAGGAGAATTCTAGCGGTCGACTTCTTTGTTCAGTCGTTTTCAGTGTTTTTTTCGATCGATACAATACTAGGGTGAGACGGTGTCCCGCTGGAGAGATACCTGGAGAAGGAAAACTTTGAAAGCCTATGTGTAAAAGTTCGTGCCGCATCTCACAATCCTATGGCGTAGGAACTCCGCTACCTCTGGAGATAATGGGACGAATAACCTGCGTAATTGACACGGCCGTAATAAATACTCTCTCTCTCTCTCTCTCTCTCTCTCTCTCTCTCTCTCTCTCTCTCTCTTTCTCTCTCTCGCGCGCGTCCGCGCTCTCTCTCCCTTGCAGACGATGGTAGATGGCTTATTTGTCTCCAAGAAGATAAGCAAAATATTTATGGTAAGCTAATTGTATGGGAGTGAGCACACTGATTTCACAAACCCACGTTCAAAGGGAAAATGTTGGAAGGGGTGAATTTTCAAAGAGCAAAATGTTCTCAGTGCTCACTTTGACAATCGTGATGTATGAAAGAACTCGGATTAAATACTTGAGACCAAATTAATTCCTGCGGAAGAATCCGTCCTTACCAGGCCCTATTCGGTAATCATTCTGCTGGAAATGACATAAGTAGTTATAACTGAGACCATTATTGTGTTGTATTCTCTTAGCGCAAATGAGAGAAGGAGAAATTGTAAGGAGAAAAAAGTAGTTTACAAAGATCACTGTTGAAACATATTGAATGTAATTCATAGAACTTATGTGAATGTATGATATTGTAAGCTAATTTGATCATCCGTGAAGGAAATCGGCAGTATGCGTGGAATATCCCAAATATCGCTGCGCCTATTTACGCGATAATCATGGTCAAGAAAAACATTAAAGTTAATTATTAAGGTCAGCTAGCGTTTAATGTATACGTTTTTAATAGCGTAGAGATATGTATCGCGGTAGAAAAAAGGTGAAATGATAAACACCAACTCTTCGTTTCAAGTGTGTTTATTATTTATAAATTCATATGAATAATTTTGTAAAATAAAAATTTGATTTGATCATGTATATGAATACACGGAACACATCCTTTCTTAAGACATTTTGTGAAAGTGATTGATTGGGGTATTCGTTTCTAAGAAGAAAGTCTTATTATTCATGCCAAGAAAAACAAAATAATGTACTTGACAATAAGCAGTAAACATTTTTCATATTACTTTAAATAACTTATCAGTTTATTACAATAAATTATGCAGCATCTTGTTTAATATAAGAATTAAATGATGATCATAATTATCATGTTCTGTGTAGAAGCCACTTGCAACCGATATTTCTCCATCATTTACGTGCAGCAGTTGTTTACTCCCAGAAATCATTAACGATGCTTAGGTTTACCCAAGTTCTTTTAGATTATGCCAAGTTTTTTTGGATTCTGTCACGGTTTCGTCTTTTGCCGTTGCTACGAGTTCGAAGTGCAGGTCTTGGATGTGGACTTTCAGGCATAGGCAGGACTAAGCCCGCCAATGTCACACGGTAGTCGACCAGGTTAATTATTCTCGACAGAGATTTAGAGCCTGACCCTTGAAGTTCAGCATTAACACATACAGCAGTGTCGTTAGGAAACATGCAAAACTCGACAAAGACAGAGTTTTTGGAGTAAATTTAGCCGTTTTATAATTTTAGCTATGAATTTATGTCTCACAGGTATACATTACAATTGGTATGGCGATGCTCGTGAAAAGTTCATGTTTATCGCATCACTTGCAGCTATTGTTAACCAAACTGCATGCGCATGCGCTAGAATACAGCTGACGCCATACCAATTCGTCAGTTGACGTCCTTCTCTGTGCGTGCCTCTTCCGTAGGCACTCCTATCAGATCGCTGCATTTTTCAACTTGTTTCAAAGCCTTGGCACGAACTGGCTTGAGGATTGTTGCCCTATGCATTAACCGGGAGTTTGTTAGAATTTACACCGATAACTACTGTTTAAATGTTTTTGAAGAACGCTTTTGTAACAGCAAAACATACAAGGCTGTCTTATATAATCTAGATTTGTTAGGTGAGCTTCATCACAAAGAATGCCGAAGTTGGGGTTATTCATTGTTCTTCAAATGAGGAAACCTGAGCAGAGGAAAAAGAGAAACGGTGGCACTCTTGCTTAATTTATTGATTGATGATTTCGGGTGCGGCAGCTGCTAAGGTCATTAGTCCCGTAAATGTAGGGCGTGTTATATCGCGGACGTGGCAGTTATCTTCCCTCGCCGAATGACGAGTTCCGGTGCCGAGTTACCTGTCGGCTTGTGGGGTTTTCCCTCCCCAGTCATCTCCCACCAGCAAGCCATCGCCGCAGCTAGGACACGCTCTGAGCTCCCGACATGTGTGGTAGTATAGTGCATGTAAGTGTACGTGTGTGTGAGTAATGGATGAGGATAAGACAAGAAGATGGAAAGATCGCTCGTAGTTCGTGGCCAGTTTGTTAGGGAACCGCTCCGGTATTAGCCTAGTGTTTATAGCAGAAACTACGGAAAATACCCATCAGAACAGCCGGCCGCTAGAATTCTCCACCAGACAGCGGCTGAATTCGATATAGCTAATGTCGAAAATCCTGTCACGGTCGGGACTCGAACCCTAGGACCTCCCAGTCTGAGGCACTGCACTGACACAGTGGCATGAAGCGACAATTGATGCCCTGAACCATCTAAGCAGGTCGATGTCGAAACGATGTAATATATTTAAAAATGATTTAGTTTATGTTCTATTACAATATTTTTTTGGATATTTGCTAACACGTATTTTCATTAAATTACATGCAATTGTCGTTGCACAAAAACGTGATACGTCTCAAAAATATCGATTTCACAAGAGAACGGTTTTCAGCCTTGGCGTTGCCTTTAATTTCGTGTCCGAACACAGTGTTTTACTCATAAACCAACTGTATTGAGAATAGACTGTGGCATTTTGACTACTTTTGTCTATTTGTTACTAAAAACTAGTGGTGCTACAGGGAATATATCAAGAGAACTAATCCTTGTTGTCGATGTTCACAATCTAAGACATTACGTCACAGACTTTTTTCTACAAATTTCAACTGTTTTTGAATTTTGATTTCTAGTAGTAAATTACAAAGCTGATATCAATTAGAGCTACGACGGTATTATACAAGCCATACAGCTTCTCAGGATTATTTTATTAACAAAATATAAATTTTATTTGCTGCAAGTCATAGAGTGAAAGTATTTGAATACATGTGCAGAAGAGATGCTTACTTTCAAAAATCGTAAAGTGATGTATGGAATGATGGAGGTGAAGTGATGTGTACCCCTCTTACACTTAAAACCCATCAACTGAGCACGTCGTGTAGTCACGAGTTCGACTTCTCAAGTTTTTTGTTCTCTGAAGATCTCAGTACTTTGGCATATTCATTTTTCTTAACTCACGGAGTCGTGTTCGTCCTCTACGTTCTTTCAGATATTTTTTGACACATTGGCTGCAACACGTTATGGTGTTGTTTCGTCGTCTCATTTGATTAATTTCATTTATACATTTTGGTCGGTTGCGGGAATTTCGATTTATTTTTAAGAAGAATTATAGCTGGCTTTTGTATTTATGCTACAACAACACATGCTTTCTCGTATTACTTTTATCGGTTACATAATATACCTTGTTCGTTGGCTAGCGTGCTCGCTTTCCACGGCGCAACCCCGGGTTCGATTCCCGACCGGGACGGAATTATAACTGTCTGCTTTCTTTATAAATATCACAGTGTCTATTAGCTGCGTGGCGATGCGAAAGCCCACTCTAAGGTTATGAAGATCAGTATATCCGATCGAGGGTTGTCGTCGTGCTAACCACACAAACCACTTATCCCATGGCCGAGACGCTGAGCCACCGCTGGTCGGCCAAGGCCCGTATCGGACTGTTGAGCCAAATGAGCAGGCAGGGCATAAGATAACAGTAATATTGCGTATTGTATCTTATGGATGCATGAGCCATCTCTTGGAAATCTTTCTTCATTAAACGAAGAGCAGCGAATTTACTTCTCGACCACAAAATATATAGGGTGTTTCAATGAGGACTTTACAATTTTGAAGCCTCGTATTTGTTTATTCTTTTAACTTTCTGACTTTGTTTTGGTGTCAACATTTAGCAGAATACATATTTTTTTCTTAACAAATTCAAATTTTACCTAAAAGGATTAGATGTGCCTTCCATTGGTCATGCTGCACATATACCATCTGATGTCTATGTCGTACCAAATCCGCTGCAGCTTGTCATGCTTTGAGAGACAAATTCTAGCTCTCTTAGAAAGCCTGGAAGGGTGGAACAAACGGTGTCCTTGATGAACCCTCAAAAGAAAAAAAACAAGTTGTGTTAGATCCGGTGAACGTTTGGTCCATGGAATATCCACATCTCGGCCCAAGCACCATGTTACATTCAACAAACAAAATTCCTTACGAGAAATCTTATCAGTTTATTTTCGTTCTTGCACCATTGTTAACTTGAATGGTTGGAGATGCAACCGTTTTCTGAAGTCTCGCCAAATAGCCAAATATGTTTCAAAATTGCCCAAATATCTCGACAGCTGTCGAGAAGTTCACCAGATTGATTTTATAGGACTGTTGTTAACAAAGCTTTGCCTCGCTTGCTCGAAGTCGTCAGACGCACGTGATCGACCAGGGGATTTGCTGTGTCTCTCCGTACATCCAGTTTCATTAAAACACTTATGCTACTGATAAACAGTAGGCCTACAGGGAGGATCTTTACCATACTCTGTGCGAATATTACTTGGCACAGTTGTCGCAGGCTTCAAATTTTCAAACTAAAACGCGCAGCGAGAATGGTCGGGGCCAGTCCAGGCAAGGACAGGCTCAGGACCGGTAAATCTTTTTTGAATTTGCTGGTAGTTCCTTAATTGCCACGATTCGGTACTAGAGTACCTCATGAGTCAAAACGTGATCTTTTTCCCTTCAAAATGGCGCCAAGACGTAGTTTCTGAATCTGAACTTACTAGTACTCGCGGCGCACCATTTAATACAGAATTTTGAGAAAGAACGTTTATGTGCATTAATGAATGCCCTGTATTATATTTAGGGATATTGCAGACTGGCGTCTAAGAAATAAATAAATGAATATTTCTTCTCACGATTCTTCGCTCTTCCCTCTCCAGGAGTCAATGAAACATGTTTCAAAATAAAGGTTTCTATCTTAATTTTCTATGTAAAGAAAAACATTCAGTGTCTCAGCTGAAGTAGTTATAACTATAAATCAACACATAAAATAAACTTGAAATTCAGAATGTCTGAGAAATTAATTTTAAAACAACATCAAACTACATCGATAAATCCTCCATAAAAAATCCTGGCTGTGCCACTCACTATAGCAAAGGGGCATATAATAATATGCCCTATTTTTTTATAATTAAATTTTTATGGCAAAAAAATGTTGATACTACTTGCAAGGTCCTAAAGAGGTGAATTGACTAGAACTTGTTCCAATCCATGCCTCGAACAAAAAGCCGCGGAATTTGAATTCGTATTGAGCACATGAACCTGTCGTTTCGTTTTCGCCTGCCTTGTCATGTAGGTTCTCGCGCTTTGCTGATCCCAGACCAAAAGAGTCTCCAATTATTGTGGTGGCGTTTAGTGGGTTATCGCAGAAGCACCCTTAGAAAAAAAAGAGTATGTGGCTTCGCCTGGATCAGCCCTAACTGTACTAAATAATAATTATCCTTGACACAGGGCAGGATCTGATTCTGTGTAAAAATGTGGATATAATAGCAAGGGCTACGATGCCTTGGCTTGCGGTGGATCTGTATGGGATGGACTCTCGTCTTGTAACCACTTCTTGGGTCTGTGCGTGAGGGTTGTGCTATTCGAGTTTCTGCTGAGATATTATGAATGATTGAATGTATTTTGAAAAGTTACCCTCGATGATGGAATAAACTATTCCTATACAAAGGTAATATATTTAATGTTTCAACCACTCTGAGGAAATCCCGCGATCTCAACCTCCAGCAATGGAACCCTCGTCGAATCGCGCCCCGCTTCTGCTCACCTTCACCTGCTCCTGGGCGGCTTTCGCCGGGCGCGCGTCCATTGGGTGGGTGGGCGTGACGTCACGAGACGGCGGCGGCGCCGTCGGCGGGCGTCGCGACGCCGCGGGCCCGCGAGCGCCCGAGGGGCAGTGCCGCCGCAGGCGTCTCCGCGTTCCGACGTGCGCCGCACACCCGCGCCGACGCGACGCCGCCAAGGACGAAGACAGTGCGAAGACAGTGCCCGGGCTCGTGGTGCGTGCTGTTGCGTGGAGTGCGGGCGCGGGCAGCCGCGGAAGGTCACCCGGTTCGAAGAGGAGGAGGAGCTGAAGGTGAGTGGCAGAACTTGTTGGGTCTTCCGCGTGACTCAGGCGACCCACGTGGGGAAGCGATGAGCTAATGGGTTGACCGCTGAGTGATCCGCCGCCGTAGGTCAGTGTGTAGTGGGTGGAGGGGAGTGACGTAGTGTGACTCACGCGGGGAGGTGTTGTGTGCGAACGTTTGAATGGCTTGATTTGGTTCGTTCATGTATCATCGCATCTTTTTTGGATTATGATGGGTTTTGTTCGTGGGATAATTGTGAATTGGGGAATGATTTTTTTTCGTTATTTCAGTGAGTCAAAAATTCTTGCTTTACACAAGAAAAAAATAAAATTCTATTATTAAATAATGCCTCCACTATTCCGGATATTGTTCACTTTACTACAGTTAAATTGCAAATAACATATCCATAACTACACTTATTTTATATACTACTATTATTGTATATTCACAACTACACTTATAACTTGCGCACTGATGATGGTAAGAAGTTGGTTGGCATATATTATTCGCATTCTGTAATTACTGTTCATGCAATTTTTTCTGCCCAAAATCAAAATTCTTTTCTGTATATTTCATAACTTTGCCAATCTTCAAATTCATTCTATTTCCAGTAAACATCGTCCGCTTACAATTAAACAACTTGTGTATTAATTTCTCCAAATGTTTCCTTGTATCACAACATCCCTCTGGGACGTTGTCCAATGAAACTGGAGAGAACCCGTGAACCAGTGACGCGAGAGCCGCTCGGCCGGCGGCCTTCGACCTTGCTAGTTTTTCTCAGGGCTGCTCCGCGGCGCCGCCTGTTCCTGTGGACTGCCTTGCCCCCTCCCGCTCCAGCCTACATCGGACTGCGCTTCGTGTTCGTGGGGCAATAAACGTGTAACACGCAACCAACGCGGCGTCTGGCAGCCCTAAGAGCGGCGTCCTCCGGGTTCGTGGCCGATCAATAATGTTAGGGAAGTCCTGTTCTAATCTGCGCGATAAGCTAGGTGTAAGTTTGCGCAGTCGTGATTGGGACCACCTAACAAATACTCTTTTGCGGGCGGCTATTACGTTTAATTACGATCAAAATGTTTCTAATTGGTTGCGTGGATGGGAGGTTGGTCGGAGCGAATTTGAGAAGAATACAGGCCCAATTAAAATTCTAGAATTGCTTGTGTTATTGCATTTTAATAAGCACTTGCCGACCCAGCTAACGCGGATGGCTGCGGTGGTTAATGTTGTGTGTTCGAGTTTCACGGCGGTGAGTTAGGAACAGCAAACTATGACGTGTCTCGTGGGACAATCTATTCTAAATCATCGTACATTGCCCAGGAATATTTTCTATTAGTTTTTTGTTCTTAGGCGCATATTTCTGCTAAGAATTAGGCACTTTTATGATCTTCATCCATGTGCTTCATTCCCCTTCTTTTACATAAACAATCTCTCTCTCTCTCTCTCTTTCTCTCTCTCTTTCTTGCTCTCGTTCTCTCTCCCTCTCTTTCTATCTTTCCCTTCTTCTCTCTACCTCTATCTTCCTATCTTTGCTCTCTTCTATCTCTCTCTTCCTGTCCCTCCTCTTCCCATCTCTCTCTCTCCCTCTCTTTCTATCTTTCCCTTCTCTCCACCTCTCTCTTTCTATCTTTCCCTTCTCTCCACCTCTCTCTTTCTATCTTTGCCCTCTCTTCTCTCTCTCTCTCTCTCTCTCTCTCTCTCTCACACACACACACACACACTCACACACACACACACACACACACACACACCTTACTCCGTTCTTGTGAACGTGATCATTTTTACACTCTCAAACATGACCACCGAAAAACAGATCACGTTCAGAGTAGGACTCTAGATCATTGTATCACTTCTTAGATTCGTCAATTAGGTTATACAACGTTAATTATGCAATGCGGTGTACCATGCCACTTGTTGATAGAATACACAGTAATGAGCAATAACAGATTGTAAAAAGTAACTCGATTTGAAAATGGAAGTCCTACGCTTGTTGAAGCAAACGAAGAAGAAGGGAATTTGAGATTTTGCACGAGTGTCAGTGACGTCAAGAACTCGTATCCTAACATTTATCCAAAAGACAATGAAATCACTGCTTCACTTGACAACATTCTTTTCTATTTCTGTTTCACGGTAATTATCGAGATCAGGTTCTTAACAATCTCGCGGGATGCTTCATTCTGCCCCCTTCCCCTGCCAAGCCACTCCCGTGACTTGGGGCCTTCATCTGAAGAAACGGTGGAATGTGTAGGGAGCCAGTTCGTAATCGGTTTAGGATGCGAGTGTACAGGATGGGTGGATGGTGGCTCTAGGCTTTTAATCAGATTTTGGTTCTGGCTTGGACCGGGCGTGAGCAACTAGCATCGTTAGAAAAAAAAACCCTCACTCGGTTGGGTTAGAACTGCCCGAACCTCAGTCATGATTGCCAACCGCTCACAGCTCACTGTCTTCATCGTGAATGGATTCTGGCTTCAGACGAAACTTCTGTGGAAGATATAGATGGCGTATACCGCAGAGGTGGAGGGGGCAGCGGATTGGGGAAAAAATTAATAACAGCTGGCGGGAGCAGGCGTTCTGTTAGCTGGTGGCCTCTCCGGCCGTTCTTCGCGTGGGCTTCCCTCCGCTTCTGAAGAGATTTGGATTATCTTGTTGGGACGGCAGTTAACACCACACTAAATTCTAGCAGCTGCTGCGCAGGTGGTTTCAAATGTGTTCAAGTTCTACGCCGTCTACCGAAAAAGGTGCGATGCTCGTAATAAAATGGAACTTTAATAGTTAAAAGAAGCTAGTTATTATTTCTTCCAATGGTTCTGGAAATATTCTGTTTGAAGGTATTTATTATTCCAAAATTATTAATTAAAATATGTATGATATTTATTTTTTTGTGATTTATACAATTCCAAAGATCGATTAAAGTTTTGCTTAATCCTTCATTTAAAAAAATGATTTATCTGATGCGGTTTTATTGATCCACTTTCTTGATTATTGATAAACCCTATTTCGATTGATCTTTTTCTCAAAACATTTATGTTTAGTAAAAAGTACATTTACGGGCAAGTTTTTCTTCATGTGCTCTGTAAACCAATACATGTAAAATACTTATAAACGAAATATTAAATGTAAATGCACTATATGCACGTTAACGTTCGGTATATTCAGTATTTCCATAGACGTGTGCACATGGGAGTAGAGAAACCCTGGGCCCCCTGAAATTTTTAAAACGAGCCTCGTATCCCTAAGCAATAAAATACATTGTAAATATGAGCAATTCCAGATTTCCCCCTTTCTTAACTTGCATCTTTGGGGAATTGGTTCACGACATTTGGAGAAGAAGCTCTCTACAACCATTTGTCAACCCTGTAAATGGTTAAATATAAAATAAGTTGGACTTATGTATTGTGTGATTTCATTATCCATGTGGAATATTTTATTTGTTTACTATAAAACGTCAAATGTAAGTAAAAAAATGAAAAGGGCGCTCACAGCCTCCTCCTCCTACTGGAGGCGCACACCTATGTGTTTCAGCGTTGTTCAGTCAATTTATCCCATTAAATATTTCATTTGATGTGCTTGTTCGCCAATATTTTTCAGTATGTTTTCCTCTGCTCTTCGCTAGTGAATTTATGAGGTCTTAATGGCATAACAATGGCATTGATCTGATTACTCATACCATGACGCAGACGGATGGTGAATGGTATCTACATGGAAGCTGCCAATAGGCTCTTTTACTGAGTCAACTGGGTCGCAATCAGCTATCCACGTATTAGTTCACGTTTTGCTAAAGACTTATTACAACCTCCTTAGTTATCGCTTATTTTTGTTCTTTAAACAACTATAGTATTGTTTAAACTGCGTAATATATTTTTTACTTTGAAATGTTCTGCTAACGTTTATTGTTTCAATTTATTCGAACTTGTTACATGTTATAGTAGAATGTTCTGATGTTACATTTGTAAGTTTTCCTTCATAAGTTATGTTCGTTATAATATTTACTACGACCCCTTGAAAAATATTGTAATATTGAATAAGGATAAATAGATATTTAAAACAAATACTGTTGTCGCGTGTCGCATGTTTCCACCATTGTTTATTTTCACAGAGGTACTTCGGGCGCCACATGTCCTTAATTTGATCAAATTATTTTATTTTTCTTGTATTGTATAATTATAATATAATTATTGAATTATTATATTTTATTTGTATTGTGTCGGTACCAATCGCCTTGGCGTCTCGGTCTATCACAAATTACTTTCATCAGTTTGTCGACACCTTTTAGTCATTGACCTTGCATTCACATTTCACGGTACCTTTCAGAAAAAGACCTTTTTTATGTAGAACATTCTAACACGCTATTTGCGTAATTTCATAAGCTTCACGAAGGATGAGCGTCATTGACCATTCTGCCATAACGCTTTCTTTATGAAGAAAGTGAGTTGTTCGCGATCATACCTTGGATTCGGACAATCCTATTACAATGGTGTGATTTTTTTTCTTGCTTCGTACTTGATCCAATAATTAGAATGTTGATACGTATTGTTGATTATGCAAATTACGTTTTTCTAATTAATTGAATTTTTTTGATTGTAATCAATTAAAATAAAACTAAAGGAAATGGAAATTTAAAAAACGAAAAAGAACATTCAAAGTGGAAATTCGACGATAAAGTTTGTTCTCTCAGACGGTAAAATTAGACTTTATAAATATGGAACTTCGGTGCTATTACTTCCAGTACTCAAAAATGAAAATACTTGATTACTCGAATTTTTGTTTTCCATCTCTCCTTCCCAATATCAGAGTTCTCCCTTGAATATTTTCTCGCAGCAAAAGTTCGACGCGCGCGTGCGAGTTAGGGACGAATTGGCACATTGAGCCATTGTCCTGAGTCGGCCACATTCCTCGAACCCCGCCCTCGGAATGTCCAGCGGTCAGAAGTTTCGTATTCCCGCGCGCACGCACTGCAGGAAGCGGAGTGGCCGGTGACATACAATAAGC